AGAAGTGTTCCAACTGCTCGTTCAGTTTTCGGGTATGGGGGGAGAGGGGGAAATCTCCCGAGAAAACTCGACTTGATCTCGAGGAGAAGCCTGACTGGATGAGCTCCCGATCCGAATTGCGGAAGGAGGATAGCTCCGTTTCGACCGAGCGAACCTTAACGAAGCGGCTCCCGGAATGAGGTCGACTTCCTTCCGAGTTCCGACACGGGTAGAGGTTAGGTCAGACAGGAAGATCACTCTCCGAAGCGGTTATTGAGATCGGGTCAGGTCGCTTTCATGAGTCGCTGGTGAAATAGGCCAGCTCTCACTCTAGCAGGCGTTCACCTCGGCTCTCGAGAACCCAAACGAGCTCTCACGGCTTCCGTGAGCGTCCCTGATGACGTACTATGTAGATGATACGCATCATCATCATCGTCGACGCCTCCGTTATTGTTGTAGAGCTTGTCGCTCGAGCACGATCATTGTAAAGGAAGTCGCTCTCGGGCCTTTGAACCTTTGACACAGAGCACGAGACCGCGAGCTCACTGTCACGACGAATTCAGGCCGTCGTTTCCACTCTGGACACGAGAGGCCATCAGACTTCGCCGACAAGGGACTGAATGACAGTAGACGCGACTCTTCCGGAAAGTCACTCACTCAGTCGGTCGGTCGGTCGGTCCGTCCGTCCGCCGAGCGGGTGGTCACTTAATGACGGCCGGCTACTGCAGGCGTCGTCGGTCTGTTTCGAGACGAGTCCTCGACCCAATATCACACGTTGAACACATAGGTGCCCAAAGGCTTAATATAGAAGCTCCGGAAACGATCGGGGAAGATTTGAGCTCATCAAATGCAGGCGATCGAAAGCAACCCGGTCCGCCTTTCGGATAGCGGCCGGGTCTTGGATAACAAACTTGTGGAGCATTTGCATCCACGAGCGATTCTTCCGTTTGCTTCTCTCTCCACCGTCGTTGAGTATCCTTCCCACTCCTCTCATATTCTTTTCGGCGTCCTCCTGCTCCTCCGTCGACGTCGTCGTTCTCCTGTTGTTCGGCTGCTGAACGAGCAGACAAACAGGCAGAGTCCACGCTTCTCGCCTCGGTAAGGGACTCGACACACAGCCACAAAACCGCATTCGCGTTGTAAAAGATTATCGGACCCACGTCAAGGAGAAACCGCGCCTTCGCGAACGAGAAGTGATGGAAAAGAAATAGAAGAAGGAGTCGGGAAGCAAACGCTCGCTACCGAAAAGAAACTGTCAAGGAAACGGCGCTTTGGAAAAAATGTCAAACCATTGAGAAAAACCGAACGGACGAACCAACGGACGAGCGGGCGGGCGAGAACAGAAGAAAGAGAGACTTCGATCGAAGCAAGCCGGCAGGCATCCGACCGCGGCTCATTTCAACAATGAAGAACGATGAATACACTACCGCGGACTAAATGGATGAGCTGAACGGATCCTAAATAATTTCCGGCCCGATGAAAATCCTCTGCCTCGAGCATCGATCGATTTGAGAAAATCTGGAGTTGTCCTCCGCCAGAGACGCGCCGCGGGCTTCCTATGCGTCTCGACGTTCCTTCCCTCGCTTCATCCCCTCATCCGATCGTCTCACTTCTCGCGATCGTAGCCGAGACGTAAAATTTTCAGGAGACGCGTGTCAGCTCAAGCGGTACGAATTTCGAACGGAGAGAAAAAAAATCGAAGAAAATATATCTACAAGAAAGGAGAGCAGAAATAACGCCCTACGCGTGGGTCAGCGACCTCGCTCGCCGCTAATTGAGGCGCAGACCAACAGCTGAGAAGAAGCAAAAGTGGAATTTCCGTTGGCTCTCCGCCGTTCCTCGGGGAAATTCATCGGCGCGTCGATCGTTTCTTCGATTTGCGGTTCCGTCGATTTTGGCATGCCGCATATTCCGTGCAGACGATCGGGGTTACAACAACGCGAGAATTGGGCCGCTTTCGAGTTGCCACCAGATAATCTCTGTCGCGGTTCCGATCCACCACGAATTAAGAAGTTACGGCTCGCTTCGACACCAACGTCGCGACAGCCCGCGCTTTAATTACGGCGGTTCCGGAAGGTGATGCCCGATTTAAATTTGATCTGAATACGAAGGCAGTCGAGGAGCGTTCGGGAAGATAGAAGAACCGCAGCACGTCGGAGTGTCCCGAGACTCTTCGTAAATGAGAAAGAAACGGATAGGGGCTCTTCGTGCTCCTATCCGAGAAAAAAAATTCATGCCGCAATCTGACCGTCGACGAATCCATCGATCATGAGCACGAAAGAGAGCGTGTTGACGACATCTGATGGCGGGCCTAAGATCGGCTCTCGATGCCGAAATAATGGTCTGCAGAGTGGGAACTCGAGTATCGTTTGCTCAACGCGCGCAAACGGCCTCACTGCACGAAGCGATGAGCATCGCAACGTCGTCGTTTCGAACCGAAACGCCGCTATAGAGGGAATTTTCGGAAAGAACATAGATTTCCGGGACATGCGATACCCTGTCATAAACATTCCTTCGAACATTCCCCCAGAGAACGATCCAGATTCTACGCTGTACGACGGACCGCAAAGCCTTTCCACTCGGATCCACCCGGAACCTTAGCGTCGAACGCTGGCATCCAACGAATGTTCGGTTGGATTGATATCCAAGCCAGGTGGCACACTTTGCCAAGGCCGCGGTCCGGGCCGTGAGGGGCGGGACTCGGTTTAACCACCAAAGAAAGCCAACTTAAAACTGTGGACGGTCCACTACGTCGCTTCGTCCGCTCGCTGGCAGCCGCGACGACGTCGATGCTAAATGCTCCGGGCAGCCATGCATGATGCCATGCCGAGTCGGGCAACTGGAAGTTCACCTCTGCGTTGAACGTGACGCATCGATGCGTGCCATCCAGACGCATAAATGCCGCTCCTCAGTGCCCCTTATCATATTCCCCCGAACTATCCTTCGTGATATTCCTGAAGCCTACGCGCGACCAAGAGACCGACTCCTTCAAGGTTGGCCGACTGTGCGTCCGGCACGAGACATCCGGTCTGTCTTCGTCTTCTCCAGAACCGGCATCGTTCGAGCCTGTTGCCAAACCCCCGAAGCCATTCAATGACTGGAGGATGAGCGAGGAAGAAGCAGCACGAAGCAAAGAAGACGTTGGACAACTGTTGTCCTGGAGACGTTTACGGTCATTTCATTTTGGCCGACCTTGCCAGCTCCTCGGTCTACTTTTGTCGTTTATTCCTCAGACGACAACGCTGACGGCGGCGAGAGCGGTTCTCGCCATCGATTATTGATGTGGCTCGCTCGCTCAGAGTTGCACGGGTAGCCGCTGGGAAGCTCTCGTCGTCTCGGCTAATAAAGCGACTTCGCCTCTCTTTCCTGTACACCTCGATCTGTTTCGAATGCACAAATGTATGCTCCTCGCCAACAGAAGGAAGTCGGCCGACGCGACGGAGTGGAGAGACCCAGACCACCGAGCACGGAGTTCGTTCGGGCTCAATGAGAAACACATTTTCCATCGGGAATTGAACTCCCTGGTGGCTGGTGCGCGCATGGCTCAATTATGGAACAACACATGTTTTTAATGAAGCAGTTCTTTCCGATTCGAGAAACACCATCACGAAGATTCTCATCGAGGGCTCGGGCCGTGAGCGGGTCCCGGCAATCGACTCCGAGCTGGAGAATTCATCGGACCCAAGAGCTCCGTCTGTATCGAGATAGTAGATAGACAGAGAATATTCATGGAATTTAGTTCCCTAGAAACCCGCTCCCCGCAAAATGCTAATATCTCTAGATCGATTCTCGAGAGTAATCTCAGGATTCTCCGCATAATCCCCGAGCGAGAGTTCGCCTGATGATCAGACAAAGGCTGGATGAGCACACTCAACCTTTCGCCGACCCGCATCGTTTCACTATTCCTCTTAATCCTCTCCTCCCTCTTGTCCTCCCTCGCACAATAATTCCTCATTTCCCGAACCGTTTCCCTGCTCTGTGGACGACGACGACGCGACGCTTTGTCGAGATTGATGCCGTCATGAGTCTTGTGAGAAGAATTCCTGACTACAAACACATGTCACGAGCGACGGCAGCAATAATCCGCAGGTCCTCTCTCCATAGAGAATGGGATCGACTTGACCCGCTCAACGGCAGATACGCGGCGACTTGTTGCAGCGATTCTGCGTGTTCCACGTTTTCCGAATAATTCAATTTCCATCCAGATATCAGGTCGGGAATTCGGCCTCGGGAGCTCCCCAGCGACGTCATAGAGACATTCAAGACGAGCCTCGAAAATCGGAGCCTCGACCTTGAACTCAGCGCTCGTCGAGGCAGATGCAAAGCCTAACAACGTGTATTACGAGCCGTCGAGCCTGGCGTAGAAAGAGAGTGTCCCGAAAAAGTTGTTCGCCGATTGGACGTCAGGTGACTGCATTTGGGTTAGCGACGATAATGAAGCTTTGTAGCCAGAGAAAGAAAAACACGCCGCCGGTCGAACGATTCCGTGTTATTGAATCGCTTTTCGACACTGAAACCTGAATTGGCTACATCGATTCTCCGTCATCTCGGGAACAGAAACCAATCTTGTCGTGTCGTGTTTTTCCCCCTCCAGCGGGACTTCGTGGTGGAAAAACTCCGCGCACTCGCTCGGGTCACGGAACCGGAGAATCTTGGGAAAGTTCGCTTCGCCTGCCTCCACGGAAGGTCGGGCAGGGTCTGAGGGCTCCCACTGCATACATATATGTATATCGTCTCCCAGCGATTCCATTGAATCGATCGATCTTAAAATTCAACTGCTCCCTCCGCACTGCGATCGGACTCGGCTGGGGAAGTTATTCCACTTCCGATTCTCGTTAGGAAGGTCATTACGGAACTCCTTCTTGTCTCCGTTTTTCTGCTATTTTTCCTCGCCGTTATCCATTATCGTTTGTCGGGTGTGATTTTTCTGTGCTCTTTGTTTTCTCTCGCTCTCCTCCCCCTTTACCGGCAGGCAGCCTTATCTGTGACAACGTCGACGATCTAGAAACAAGTGCGCTTACCTTTCCGAGGAACTTCCCCTTGAGGTAAGTGATCTTCGTTTGGCGGTCGATGACGTATTCCGGAACTTCAATCGTATTGTTATTGTTTGCTTGAAGTTTAGCCGAATGACTCTTGTCTCTGGCCAGATCCGAGCCGGACAGAATCTCATTCGGAGTGACACATCCTGAATCAGCACTGCCTCCAGCTCGTATTCCATCGTAGCTTCTGCCGCCTTCTGTCAGGCTGTTCGGCGTGCTCCGACGAGACAGCGACCGAGACCTGGACACTGTGAGGCTTTCCGTTTTGGGACTCGAGTTCGGAGTCAGGTGGTGGCTGTGGTGGTAGTTCTGCTGCTGCACTGACAGCACGCAGCCGAGAGAAGTCATCTTGGCACCGCGAGCTAGATCAACAGGCAGTTGGATTTCGGTGGTTTTCGTTTTTCCACCACGAGTACGATCTCAATCGATCGATTGCTCCGGCAAGTGAAAGATTGATTGATTTATCGATTGATGAGCGAACCGAATCGATTAGAACAACCACTTGAAGATGAATTGAGTTGTATCCAGTAGTAGCACTTTGAGATTTTCCGGAACTTCACCGAGTTGTCACACAGCAATCCACAGGAAGAAACTTGATTTTTTTTCCTTTCAGTCTAGAGCAGAGCTACAGCACTGCCAATCACATGATTTCAGAAAAAAAAACGACAAGGGCAACACGCGACGCAAAGGGCCCCTGTTCGCTAGCTGTCAATGGACAAACGACGAACTCCCAGAGCCACGGCAGTGCTTCGCGCTCCTCTTCGTTTCGAATAACTGCACTGATTGGCTTGGCTGACACCACGACAGAGTGTCCGCCTGCTACTTGCCGTGCCGCTCGACTGACTGACTGAGTGGCGATAGAGGAGCAGCACAGCGAGCGAACCACATGCTTTTCGCGTCTCCCAAACAAACTTAGCCCTCGCCACAAACACCAGACGGCGCCAGTTTCTACGGAAGGTCCGCGTTGACGCTGGCGACATCGGCGGCGTCGGCCGCAGGCTGCGCTGTCAACCTGCTGCTGCTGCTGGTTCTACGGCTTTCCTACGACGGTTTTTACGGTGTTGGCGACGTCGACAACACCGACGACGACATGCGGGAACAGCGGGGCCGACAGGCGGGCGGATGGGAAGGCAGTCAGGTGAGAGTCTACCCTTGGAAAAGTTCGGGCCAGGCGAACTAATGGGCTCCACGGCGACGTCGCGCTTAAACTCTAGCGAGTCTTTTTTTATTGGCGTTCATCTACTTGGCAGGTCGATCGAATCGTGCATTGCCTGCTCTTGGCTCGGGCTTGGCACTAAGGCAGGCGGTTCGTTGGCACTGCCAACGACAGGTTGTTGTCCTACTCTAGCTTCTAACGTCGTACGAGCCCAGAGTTCATCACCTGAGCTCATCAGGATCTTGGTAATAATCTTCGAGGAAGCGCGCGTCGAGACACCGCGAACCAGGAACTCCAGGAAGATCGCCAGATGCGGAAATCGTTGCGGGCCTGCGGGATGCGAAGACGGTCGGATTGCGAAAGGACAGATTCACTGCTCTGCAGGTCGGAAAGTCGAGCAATTAGGTCGAGATGATAGCGTCGACTTCCTAAATCATTAGCTGTCTGGACAAAAGTTCTCTTTAAGGCTAAGCGATTCGGTCACCGCATGGCCTCGCCAGAGATTATTATTGTCGATGAGATGAAGCTCGACGATTCGAGTGAACGTGCGGATCGATTCCGCGCCGCCGCAGCCCATCATGCGTCCTGCCCGTCGCAACCAGTTGTCAAGCGAAGCTGGAGACTCGACGACGGGCGATGTACAGACGGGATAACGAATTCTGCAAACTCGAGTGCTCTTCGCGCACAACATACGGATCGATGTCACCGTAGACAACTGATGAGGCATGCGCGAAGAATTTCGAACAGAAATACGACCAGAACGCAAATGTTAATCTCCTGATAACAGAGTCTACCATCTCGCCTGCCGCCCGCCTGCCCGCCCGCCAGTCAGTCAGCAAGGCGGTTATGCTGCGGCTCACTGAAAACCAGACGGGCAGGAGCGGGCGAAATGATGGCGAGAAGTACTGATGGCGAGACGGGGGCCTAGCGGCCCGTCTCGGCGAGTCCGGAGAGAATTTCGCAGAAATAGGTGCGTGGAATCCAGTCAGGGGACGCTCGTGGGTTTCCAGCCTTGCCTGCCGGCAGAGGTTGATGCCTCCGGCTTCTGTTGTTTGGAATAAACGAGCTGAAATCCTCCGGATCCGGCGGTAGTTGCGGCTGCGGACTTCTCCGAAAATGGCGTTTTTACCTTTCTTGACAGCATTCCTAGGACGTTGCTTCGCTTGGCTTCTGAGAAGCGAACAAGGACCCGACTGGACGCAACTGAGCTTTGAGAACTGTCAAGATGCAAATCGGACAGTGCATGTGAACCCGCAATGTGTCGCGTCATCGTCACGATAACACCCCACGCGATTTTCTTCGCAATCTTATTATTATTTATTTAATCTTCAATAATAAGAGATGCTGTTCATCCCTCTGCATTCGTGTGGAATGGATTGTTCGTGAGCATGGTCCTCGATTTCGTCAGGGAGAGTGTGAGCGAATGGTTTGATGTCGTTTCGATCTGGGAAGGGATTGGCTTCTCGCTTTCTAGAAGGTGTCGCTGTGACTCACTTCGCTTTTCTGCGGCGCGGAGTCGATTCCGAAGCTGGGAACGACTGCTCGGAGTGTTCGGGTTCCGAATCCACGAGAGCGAAATGTGCAACGAGTGGCCGACCGAACTAACGTGTGTCCGACCGACGACTGAGCGGCGGAGTCCGTCGTTTCGGGACACAGCTTCGAGGAGAAAAGTCATTGGGACGTAGTCCAGTGTCTCGATGGCAAAATAATCGATCTTGTATTCTGTTGCTGCAGCAACGTTGGATCGTTTCGAAAAACGCATGCATAAATAAGATTTCGCGACCATCAACGTTTCTTTTTCGTCCCTCTCAGCGTCCACTTCGATGTTTTACAATTCGATTCCGAATATCCCTCATGGCACGGCTCGCTTGTTCTTGAGTCGTGTCGAGCGAAATGATGGTTCACTTCTCTGAACGCGTTTGTAGACTAGGGCAGAGAGCACGGTTCCCGCCGACATCGAGCAGTGACATTTGCAAACATTACGATGTCTGTCCACTCAACGCAAAACAGAGCGATGTCCCGTCTAATTGGATGACTGAGCGGGCGAAAATGAGACGGCCTCGTTTATTTTCCAGAATCTATCGAGATCGTGGGCTCGGCAGAATGGACAATGGACTTATATTGCATTATCTCCCTTCCGGAGATCTCGAGTCATAATCTCGAAGAAAGTCGAAGAGGCGCCGATCTACGAGGAGCGCTCGAACTTTAATCTTTCGGAAAGGGAAATTTAAGCGGAACCCTGACTTTGAGCAATTAAGCGAAGATAAGTCTCACGGAAACCACCCTGTGAGTCGTCGGCCCCTAACCCAGAAATCCTACCCCGGCCACTAATTCCACATCGTGGAAAGTGGTGAAGCGAATCAAGACCTTAAGAACGTTATGTAAAGACGTCTACGTAAAACGTGTCATCCGCTCACAAAAGCCAAGCGGTCGTCGTCGTCCACCGCTTCAGCCAGGAGGACGGACAGACGAACGAAGCGAGCTGGCAACGAGCGATGGGACGGACACTCGCGCCGACAACGAGAAAAAGCGAAACTGCATGCCTGCTCACGTTCTCGGCCAAGTAGATCCTTTGATCCGGGCATCGGATGCCACAGCGCGTGTTCGCTCGGCACACACACGCACTACTATCGAGTATCAATTCGATTCGTCGGAAGCGAAACTCTACGATAAAAACTCCTCCTTCAGAGCAGTCCTCAGGCAGTTCGCGGGAAGCGTTAGTGAGTTGAGAGAAAAAAACGCCGGATCGAACTTTCATCTCGAAGATGAGATTCATATTAATGACGGGGATATACCCACAGACATACGTTCCCACAGACATACGAGAATAGTCGAGCAGCGAACAGAGTGAACGAAAACGCAAACAGAAAGCAGATATCTAGATTCACGTCCTAGACCACGACATCGGATAGAGCGCCCTTCGAAGGGCTTCAACAAAGCCCATGATCCACTCGGGCCGACTTTGGCCCACAACGTACTATGAACTGAGGACGTACTATGTAGTCGTTGTAGGCGACCACAAAGCGGACGAGCGGTTGACCGTAAAGAATGCGCTGTTCAACAATGCTTAGTTAGGCTGCTTTCGACGGCGTGTGAGTGGTTTATCCTATCGGACGTAATCATGATGCGCTCGAATCGAGTGGTGGCGATGGTGACGATGTCGGCGGTGGTTCCCCAAGAATTTGAATTCGGCTCTGGTGGATTCTTTCCTCTTCTAGCCAAGTAACGACACGCGAGGGATTTCACCGGAAAGTCAACGTTGGACAGAAGCCTCCCGTTGTAGGGTCGGTCGGTACAACGTTGGCATGCGAGTAGAAGTCCCTGACTTATAAGTGAGTGGATGTCATAAGATACGGCACTGAAGTAGTCGGGAGGGAGAATGAAGGGAATTACGACAGGAGCAGGTTTACGGAGTAGCGACGGCTAACCTGGCGGTGGGTGAGGCGTCCTCTCCCCCACCCCCACCTCGCGGAAGATGTCTTCCGCACACGAAGCTCAGTCGATCAGCTTTCAATTACTCTCCAGCTGATCGGCACTTGACCGCCCAGGTTGACGGCAGCGGGACTGATCAGCGGAGACTAATTTCACGGAGCGAGCGCTCGAATTTTTTTTTGTCGTGTTGAGCTGGACAGATAGGTACGCATTCGCGCTTCTGGTTCTGCTTGCGTGTCTGCGGATCCTGCTTGAAATACTGAATTCGACGCGAGAACGCCAAAAAAGCTCTTATTGATACCCGCGAGGAAAAGTAGCACGACGAAGACTCATTTATTTGTTGTTGAACTTGTGAGGCCCCGATGGCGTTGCCACCGCCGCCGCTCCGAACGCCTTCTTAGATTTTCAATACGTAAATACAATGAGTCGATGGACGTCGGAACGGAGGTATTTCGACATGAACTCACGGTTTTCGACCGAATTCATTCCCGTTGCTGCTGCTTTAAACGCTACACTATTGGTGACGTCACCATTGCCCTTATGGCACTGAGTGAGTTCGATCCGTGATGCGGAGTCTGAGCGTGAATCCGCAGGTCTCCATCGTTGTAATCGCTCTGTGTGTTTAGACCAGAGGTTCTAGTTTTACGTTTCTGGACGCTTTCTGGAAATTCGGCCAAACCGTAAACCACTGCGCGAACGCCCGAGGGTTTACGTCATCCGCAGAATATCGCGCGAAATACGGGGTGCGAAACGACTCCCA